GTTATTTTTCGTTAATTACACTTAATTTTGTTACCATTCTCTTCATCCATTATCTTCTTCCTCTTTCTTTCTTCTTCTTCTTTTTCTTTTTTTTTCTCTCGCTCGCCTCCATCATTCTCCTCCAAGAGAATCCAATTCTAGGTTCTTCAAGAGAACCCAAATCGGGTTCTCTAGGAGAAACAGTCTGGGACTCTGGGTTCTCGAAGAACCCAGGTTATGTTCTCCAAGAGAACTCAAGAGAAAAAAAGAAAAAAAGAAAAAAAGGAAGAAGGTGGGAACGTGGTAGAGAGCTGACAATTGTTTTGTAGATTATTAAGATAAGGATGGAAGTGAGGAGGAAGATAGATCTGGTAAAGACGGAAAGGGTTGAGTGAGTCAGGAGACCATCAATGTATATAACGAAAATTATTAAAGTGTGTAACAGTGGTGTGTAATGAGTGGTGTGCATGAATCAGCGTACTTAACAATTATACAGATTTACAACACTTTAAAATAGTATCACAACACTTATATAATTTTGAACAACGACACCATACAATCACAAGGCATTACTAAGAAAAAAAAATACAATCACACTTAAGTACAGTAATCTTGAGAAAACCTTATATATAGATTAACTGACCATTTATTGGCAAAACGCTCATTTTCTCTCACACCACACCCAGTTGGTTTGTCCCTATTAAAAAAAAAAAAAAAAAAAAGGGAATCCCAAACCTTATTATAATTACTATTATATTTTTTGTTTAGCACAAATATCAGACTTTATTTGTTCCCCGCTTCTGAATCACCTCCCTGCAAATAAAACCGTAGAAAATTACGGAAGGGAAACTAGTAAGATTAAAGGGATCAGGTTTTAAAGCAAATATTAAATTTACTGAAGATAAATAGTATTTTTAGAGTAAATATTTTTTAAAACTTTTTATTGGTCCTCGTAATAAAAATTAATGGGTAGGGTTAAAAAAAAAAAACTAAACGAACAAACAAACCTGAGGGCCCGAGTGAGACTGACTGCAGTGGCGAAGTCCCCTGCTTCACGAGCCTTGAGGATTTTGAATACAAGAGCGAGCAGAAGCTGACTCCGAGCTTTCTGCTTCGCAATCACCTCCGTTTCCTCTCTCAACCTGGCGCATTGCTCTTTAATTTGTTCCAACCTCCCTCGTATTTCTGTTTGGTCTTTTCTAATCCGTTTCTGATCTATACTGATCTCCGCCATCTCCACTTTCAATCGCTTCATGTTTATTCTCAATTCTTTTTGCTTCCTTGGCCGTGTGGATCGAGAAAACCCAATTCCGTTTCTGGATTCGACCTGAATTCTTCTACTCACAGCCATGGATGCTAATTTTGATTTGTGGGACGAGCAATGTTGTAGTCTGTTTTGCTGATGATCTGGTTCTTCTAATGGCAAGTGTATTTATAATCATCAAACCAAGAAAATTAGAAGAAGAATACGAGAAAGTGAGCAGAAGAACAAGAGAACTTCTCTGGTAGTTCCAAGTCGTGGAATAATAATAGATTAATTGCAAGAGCGCCCAAACTTATTAAATTCTATAAGTAGACAATCTGCGGAGGGAAAAAGTGAAAGTAGAGATTAGTGTTTAATTAAACAAAATATGTAGTTAAATTGTCGGGGCTCTAAATTATTTTTTTAATTAAAAATATTTTAATTAATTTTTAAAATAAATTACATTTTTAATAAACAATCGACTTTATAAAATATTTTTTTTTAATAAGTCACAATTGACTTAGCGTGGACCAGGTCTAGTCAAGGTAGTGGTCGACCAGGTCTAGTAAAGGCAAAGGTAATATTAAAATCAATATCAATACCTCTCCAATAGGATTGTACTATGTTTTCCCAGTTCCCTTGTTTTCACACAAGGAAATTTTGAGAGAAAATGTCATGTTGGAAGCAATCCGACAGCTAAATGGTTGTTGTGTGGAAAAGAAGAAGCTTCCGCTATTTGCCAAAAAAAAAAAAAAGAAGAAGGAAGCTTCCTTCAGCTTTTCTAACCTGCGAAGATGTACTGCTTCTGCTCCTGCATTCTTTTATGATATCTGGTAAGTTTCAATACATCTGCA